ATAGAGAGCGCTCTCTAGCGGCTACAGTAAAACTATGCCATTGGTTCGTTTTGTCGTACCAAAAAACCCTTGCATACCAATTTTCACTGTTATACATCAAATATTGTTCGAAATATTTGAAAAAAACTGTTTTAGAAAGTAAATTTAAATAGCCTGTATTTCGGAAGCCACGCATTTTTCAAACCATGTTTATATAAACTTTATGCATTAATTTTAAAAGTTCTATCGAATCTTTAAGTTATGCAACAATAAACTGAAACACCCTGTATATTAATATGCTACGTCATATCTTATGTCAACAGTAGCTGTCAAACTTTTAATCACATAAGCAAAACCACTACTAGTTTACAGGGAAGCTGTAGATTAGAGTCCTCAGAGAAATAAATATGCTCTACGCTGTCTATTGGTTGGAGCATCTTGCCTTATGATCGGGACATATTTTACATTTTACTGTGCAGATTTTATCGTCTCTTCCAGGTTTGACGTAACCTACCGCATCATCACAGTACAATTGTTTGCGGATGTCTAAGAAGCAATACAGTATTAGATAACGGTATTCAGATGTTATGACGCACGAGCTTACTTTTGAATGACTTCTGAAAAGGAAGATTATGTACGTGTATTACTTATTCCTTATTTTTATGTCTATTATTATATCTATGCACTGTGGATTGACGGCAAAACTAATTTTAATCAGTCAATTTTTGGAGAATTTGTACTTTCTGCTCTTACAAATCCAACGTTCATGATTGTGTTTTCAATAAAACGAGAAAACCATAATATTTTATGGGGGAGCATTGTACAAATATTTAGAGAAGACATCGTTAGTTCACGAGTGACTAACGGAAGGCGTTCCTTTGTTTGCAATTTGTATGACCTCACATCAGGCAAGATAGTGCGTTCGCCGTTTCATATTGAAAATAAAAAATATGAGCTGTTAAATATCGAAATCGATTTATTTCGTTTTCCGTAGCTAAATACTGCACGACATATTTATTCTGTGAAATAATATATGAGTCAAGTAGCCCATTGTGTTTCTTTCTTTCCTATAAACCTTAAAATCAAAGTTGTTCTCGTTGCTGCTTTGGACGAAAACATCTGAGGACGTTAACTAATCGTTATTTTCAACTTCACATGTGAATTTCACTGAATCAAATTGATTGATCAGTTTTTTGACACAGTCCTCTAAAAGACCAAACGTTAGACCAAAAGAACAGAGTGCGGCAATTCAGAATTACCTCAAATTGTTAAATATGGTGAAATAGACGTCAAATACTTATTTATCTGAAAAAAAGGTGGATGTACACCGTAAAGATGAATAAATACAACACTGTAGTAGATACATTTTGCTTATTGCTACATTACTTGTATCCCATATGTTCCTCTTTCATATGTTTTTGGTGAGAAGATCCTAATTCCCATGACTTATGAATCCTGGTTATACTCTTAAGCTTTCCCACGTGCCTCCTAATTGATTAATGTCCCTCGGGCTCCCTCACCCGACTCCATGACCTGAAATGGCGTTGCGAATGGCAACTTTGAATGACCATTGGCGTAGATCTAAAAGGACCACAAAGAAACAACCTTTCCGAATTTCATCTACAAATTGTATACAAAACTGGTTCAGCATACCTTGACAAAGCAACTGACGGTCGGAGTAGTGAATGTTTGTGATTAATTCTCGAGCACTGTACAGAAAGAATGCTCCTGTGTAGTAGGAGTTTCTAGGATCGCAAATCTCCCATTTATTGAAAGGATGTCATTGCTACCCATCCCAACAAGGGGTACGCAGTCCTCGTTCTCATGTCTCATGTCCGATCACAATCTAACTTCCTTATCGTTTGTACTACATATTACAGAACTTCGTCGCCAGGTAAGATAGGTCCACAGTGACCCTTATGATAGATAGATACATTTATTGTCTTGTAGATCATAAAAAATGGCACAAGACTCGTCCTAATGGGTGATTTTTTTGCTAGTATCTTTTTGGCAACCCTGTTTTTGACAGATGACGCGTGAATCGTGTCTTGTATCATTGTCAAACTTGTTCAGTTTGGTCTATAATTTAACCATGAATCGACTTACGAACGAACAACGCTTGCAAATTATTGAATTTTACTATAAAAATTCATGCTCGGTTAAGAGAGTGCATCGAGCACTGCTTCCAATTTATGGGCAAATTTGGTCGGCCTACTGAGGGAGCTATTCGGAAGCTTGTGACTAAATTTCGGACCCAGTTTACATTATTGGACATTAAACCACCAACACGCAGACGTAAAGTGAGGACTGAAGAAAATATTGCGGCTGTATCCACCAGTGTTATTGATGACCGTGAAATGTAGATTCGCCGCCGTTCGCAGCAATTGGGCCTCTGTTACTCCACTACGTGGAAAATTTTGCGACAGGATTTGGGTGTAAAACCTTATAAGATACAGCTGGTGCAAGAATTAAAGCCACACGACCTCCCACAACGTTTCCCATTTGGTGAATGGGCGCTGGCTAAGTTGAAGGAAGATCCACATTTTTATCGAAAAATTGTGTTCAGCGACGAAGCTCATTTCTGGTTGAATGGGTACGTTAACAAGCAAAATTGACGCATCTGGAGTGAAGACCAGCCAGAAACATTGCAAGAGCTACCAATGCATCTCGAAAAAATCACTGTTTGGTGTGGATTATGGGCCGGTGGCATCATCGGGCCGTACTTCTTCAAAGACGACAATGGCCGGAACGTAACTGTGAATGGCGAGCGCTACCGTGCGATGATAACAAACTTTTTTTGCCCAAAATGGAAGAGCTAGACTTGGCTGACATGTGGTTTCAACAAGACGGTGCCACATGCCACCCCGCACACGAAACAATGGCCCTATTGAGAGACGAGTTCGGTGAACAGTTTATCTCACGTTTGGGGCCCGTCAATTGGCCGCCTAGATCGTGTGATTTAACGCCGTTTGTAGGGGCCATGTTAAGGCTAATTTCTACAGGGATAAACCAGCAACGATTGACGCACTGGAAGCCAATATTGAAGCATTTATTCGTGCGATACCGGCAGATATGTTGGAGAGAGTGTGCCAAAATTGGACCTTGCGCATGGGCCATATGAAGCGGAGATTTAATCGTTTTTTCAAATTTTTTGTGTTTTTTTTGAAAATCAAATCCTATACCTCTTAAAAAATCACCTATTAAGAAAAGATACATAGCACACATAATTAAAAGTAAAACCAAACAAGTAATCCTGTTAGTATTCACAAGATAGTATAAAGAGGAACAACTTAAGGCGTACACACATTCACATATAAAAAAGATTTAAAAATATGAGATATATCACACTGCGAGGTATTCAGACAAAGAGGAGAAACATTTAGTAGTTAAATGGGAAAAGCTTTAGAGAAAACTTAGTGCATTCGATAGCTGTCTTCAGATTTGTGATCGGTCGATTGGTTTTGGAAATATCGGCAAAACACCGAATCGAATTTTATTTTTTCCAGTAAATCCGAAACGGTTAATTTGACAGCTGTCAAAGTGTGACATTATTCAGACAATTTTTTAGGACAAATAAGAAAGCGTGTATGACACGTTCTTTTGCCTAAACATCATGATGCTTCAGCTATCAGTGTGTCTGATGTGATCCTGGAAATTATATATGCAAATTTGATGAATTTCAAAAATTATAGAGAGAAGAAAAGAAAATTTCTAGCTGGTGAAACGTGAAACAGTTATTTTACGTTTAACATTATTTTTTATTTTCAGTCATTTGACTTTTATGGAAATTTATTTTGCGATGTTAAGTAGGAAATGCAAATCAGCGCCTAGATGTGAGGCACTGCGAAAATGTTTTGGGAGTGATGGGTTATTCCTAATTTTTCTGTGATGTGGTGATTCCCGGTAACTGCTTCTCAAAGTTTTTGAAAACGCAAATAACCGGGGTAAGTCGTCATTTATAACTTTGAACATAACTTCTTCTTGGAAAGGATAACACAAATAACCCATCTGGTACACCTGAGAGATATACTTCAACGGCAGAATATTCGGTAATAAAGATACAGATACACATGCCCATAAAAATGCTTATGAGCAAGCTATAAAATGACATGCTCTTCAAACTGATATACTTGGTTGTGCTTAGTATGCTTGTTAAGACTCTTCTCGATCTTGCTCAAAGCAAAGATTCCGGACACATATGCTATTTAATAACAACCCTTCCGTCAGTGTTCCATTGCAAAAATGGAAGACCAAGAGACTTTCTCCACAGAAGGGAATAAAGTAATCTTTTTGATTGCAATACATTCATATTCGTTAACTGTTTCTCACAATATTGTTTTTATGGGACTTTGGGTTACACAAACATTCATAATTTCGATATGGAGTGACAAACTTTAACGTCATTTTTGGAACACACACAGGCACCCGCTGCGAAGAACTGTTGCTCAATAATAGCATGCTTAATAAGCAGACCTATCAAGGTATAGATAGACATGCTATAAAAAAGCATGCCTGTGAGCATGCTTCAAACGAGAATGCTCTTTTAACTGTATACATGTGCTTGAAATAAGCATGCTCGTTTCAGGCATGCTCCTGCAGAAGCATGCTTAAAACAAACACTCTACCTACACGTACCATTTGCTAGCATCTGTCAGTGTAGTGTGGTGGAAAACATGGAACACGACGTGGCTATCCGCACCCAAGTGAACGAAACCATCATATTACTTGCAGTGCAATGCATACGCAATATACTTTTAACAAAAAAGAAAAAAATAAGGAATAGGACGATTTGGGTCCGTGATTGGATAAATAGAAGAGAAAATCTTGGAGCCAGTACTCGTTTGTTGGTCGAAATGCGAGCAGAAGATAGTGAGGGTTATCAAAATCATTTACGTATGCTTCCGCATCAGTTTGACGAGTTACTCTCTAAAATTGAAAATGCTATACAAAAACAAGATACACATATGCGAAATGCTATTCCAGCTAAAATCAAATTGGAAGTTACACTGAGATACCTTGCAGCTGGAGATTCCATGTACACATTAGAAGCACTTCACAGGGTTGCGAGATCTACCATAGCTCAATTTATACCAGAAGTTTGTGATGCAATATACAGGGCTTTGAAGGATTATATGCGGGTATGTAGAACACTGATATTATTTCAAATGAAACATTTATTTTTGTTAACATATTATCTGGTAAGTACATACTTTAAGAAAATCTCCATGCTCTGCTTAAAGCGTCTTCTGCTTCGGTTTGGCTGTTGTTAGTTTGAATATTTGTAAAAGTAGGTGTGGAATTTATTATTTGTATGGGTGAAGTGGAGTATGTAGACAAGTTTGGGTACAGATGTCGACGTCTAGCCGCAGTTATAATTGTCTGAATCTCAGTTTGCACGTTTAGTGCATCATCTAATGGTAAGGCTCGCAATTGGGCAGCAATATTCAAACCAAAAAAATGAAATTCATCATATTCTGCTTGTCTGTTTATAGACGAAGTTATATTTTCTAAACGATTTATAGCAGAAGTGATCGGCTCTTCTTGTATGCTCCTTCTTTTACGCCGTGCTGGTGTGTCCTTAGATGAACGGGATGGTGTTCCTTCTTCCGCAATGTCAGTAGTTGAGGGTGGCAACATTACGGTGCTGACTGATGGCGGTGACAAGGTTAGAGTTCGAATTAGCACTAGTTGGTCGAGAATCCTGCGATGACTCATCTGTGTCCTGTAAAAAAGATTAATAATAATAATAATAAATATTAGATAATAATAATTCTACTGTATACTATTGGTTATAGAGATTTTGTTTTCTTTTTTACAGATTCCGTGCCATGAAGAATGGAAGCGTATTGAGTATGGATTTCAAACTAAATGGAACTTTGCAGGATGTATTGGGGCGCTGGGCGGCAAACACATAAATATACGTGCTCCTGATGATACTTCCGATTATTACAATTATAAGGGTGCCCACAGCACTATATTTCTCGCATTAGTTGACGATAATTACTGTTTTTCATATGTAAATGTTGGAACTAATGGGACAGCTTCTGACGGCGGTGTTTTTCAACGATCAAAGTTGGCACAAGCTTTAGAAAATAATACTCTTAATTTACCAGAGCGATCGATAATTGTGGCAGACGCGGCTTTTCCTTTAAAGACTTATCTAATGAAGCCCTACCCACGAACACCAACGCGTAAAGAACAAGTGTTTAACTACCGTTTGTCGAGGGCTAGACGAATTGTAGAAAATGCGTTTGGTATTTTAGTGACAAGATTTCGAGTTCTTCTGAACACTTTAGATATGAGACCAAAAAATGTTGATAGTATTGTATTGGCTGCTTGCTCGTTACATAATTGCTGCGAAAAACATCCGATATGTACATCACTCACAGATGCGTCGATTTTGCAGATGTACAACAACGTGTTGTTGTACCAGGAGCATGGAGGACACAACTGCGTACAGCTATGGGAAGCCTACCACCTGCGCGTCATAGTAACCATGCCTCTCGAAAGGCAGAAGCAATAAGAAACGCTTATGCACAACTTTTTGAAACTACAGAAGCGGTACCATGGCAAGACCATATGATATAAACAATCTGTACTTATAGTATATGTTATGTTCTATACAAAACTCTAGGCGATATAATAATAAAAGTATAAAAACTTACCACTGCTGTCTCAATAGTTTCCCGGTAATCAAGGCCGGCCCCGGCGGCACTATGTGTAGCAGCCTTAAGAATGTCAAAAGAGCGTTAAATAGGTATGAGCGATATCCGGATGAAGGGTGGTTGGAAATTGTGTTGTCTCAAACTTGAATAGGGCTGATTAGATTCTGTTGTATTTGCTGCAACTAAACAATATGTGACCTAGATCGCATACAGTAGAGGAACTGCAGCATATTTGGAATACTGGTTTGTTTTTTGGAAATAAATTGTAAGATAAACGGGATAGCAAAATGAAAAATACATTAAATTATTGGGAAATCATTCAATTTCAATGGTATAAGCAATCAAACAAAACAAGAACATGTAACCCCATCAAAATATTTATCAAAATAAAAAACTCCAAAATCGTAAATTTACTCAGGCTGCAGGTAATTTGGGTTATAGTATTTCAAATTATTATCACCTTTTTTTGACATTTCATTACACTATTTCCTAGAAATTTCTCAACTTTGTAAACGTTTTACAGTCTTTGGTAATTAATCTGTTTAGCAAAATAGTTTATAATTATTAAGTTAACAGTCACAATAATCACAAATAAGTATTTAGCCTGAACTTATAGTTTGGTGGTCTTAGTTACTGTTCTTACAACAATCACAGATATACACACCGGATTCAAAACCACTACAAGCAGCGTGAACCCACATTAAGCACATTTTCTCCTTTTCCCATCTATTTCTTTTCTTGTGTTTGTGGGATGTTGATATTTCTAAAAAACACAGAGGAATTAATACCTATACCGTAAATATGTGCATTAAATTTGGAATATTCCAAATCATATCCACTTGCGGTACTCCAAAATAACAACATGACATCCTTACATAAAATTCCATGTCACATTTTTATTTATAAATATATTCACAAAATCAAAATAAAATTATGAACTAACAAGGACTCATAACAATTCAAATAATTGCAATAAAGATTTTACGTATCGTAGTAAATGATTATCAATGTTTGCATTCTTACCAAACAAGTTTTCAAAGTAGACGTCTCGTTCCCGTGTGGCTGGTAACCGGAAATGTCAATATGGCGTCCTGTTTTTAGAACTTGTGGTTTCGTGTGATTTACGACATTATATTTACGGTCGTTTACATTTATTTAGATAACTAGGTATTCCAAGTTATCTGCAGTATTCCAAATATGCTGCACTTCCTCTATTTTGCAGATATCGCAAAGCGAAATACCTCTTTTAGAAAAAATTCTCGCACGCAACTGGTGTATGGCGGCGAATTGAGTTCAACACACGGCGGTTTAGTATTATTTATTTTAGCGGTTCACGTCGAGTTTAACTTAATTTAAAAATTGCCCCCACTGGTCGCGTTATAGCCATGTGAATACCGCGCCACTTTTCCTAATTTTATCCTTAACCTCCACTGGCAAAAAAATATACGTAATGAACCAGTTAATTGAAAGCCGTTGAAACTTTGTGACACATGGGGTATGGAGAAAAAATAGATCAATTAATAATAATCCTGTCCAAACAAGTCGAAAGAGTAGGTAGTTTTCATTGAACTGATGTAAATTAACCATTTATTCGGACGCGGACGGATGTTTAGAGAATCCACTCGACTTATTCTACTTTCTCCATTTCTATCAAAATCAACAGCTCTTAGGCTGAATATAGAAATATTTGACTACGTGCAAAAAAGGCAATGAATGGTGGTAATTAAGTAGCAAAATAGATTGGTTACGCCTCTTTTGGTTTCTCAGTAAAAAATTATCCAAATATCTTACTTTTTGCGCGAAACTCAAAATTTCAAGGTTTATCAGCTTGGTTTCACCAACATTTTACCAAATACCAATGTTTAAAATTCAAGTAAAGATGTTTTGGAACTTTTGTTATGTGCTTGTATTTTACCAAGTCACTCCGAATTACGATATACGACAAAATAAATGGAAAAATTAATGCTATGCACGCTATTTCGTTTTTTCGGTAATTAATAATAATAGTAATAATTAATTTTTTAATGACTCAACTCTACTAACTGATATTATGCAACAACATGAGTCCTGCTTCAAATGAAAATGGCAGACAGATCATAATAAAGATGTAGGAAAACCTAATATACAGGTCCAGTCTCAGATTTTTAACAAAGTCACGTGCCCTCGCCACAACAAACGTTATATTTACATAATGCACATATGGTACATCATACAATTAAATATCAAATCCGAACCTGCAATCTACGTTTCTAAACTTAATTTCAAGTTGGCCTGGAAGCTTAAATTTAGTGTAATTAATGTAATAACAGTATCAGTTGCTAGATTTTAAACAATTAAAATTAAAGGAAAAAGTAAATAGTTTGCATTTCCCCTTTCATTCAATAATGTGTCTTGCGAGATGATAAATTGAGAGGATAGCTTACGGGGAATTCCACTTAATATTATACAAGAAAATAAATAAGACTGAATCCGATCCTGGAAGTTTGAGTGGCCAAGACATGTTTAATTCAACCTTAAGCATTATTTTTTGATATATCCATGAAGGTCGATAACCCTTGAATTTTAAAGTTTGAAACACATGAACAGCTAATAACGCGATATTTGAATAAGTAACAAATGGCTGCTTTTATTTAGCATAAAAGGTGTTGATTTTTTAAAAAAAATCAAAAAAGTGAAGTCCAGATTTCTTAATCATGCGTCTAGTTTTACGTTACTCCTAGGTAACCTTGTTATCTTGCAAAATTTAAACAAAATTGGTTCACTAGTGGATAGATGGATGGCTATCTTCAGGTGGAATACGTGTATGAGACAATAGCAGAATCAAATACTCTAAATCTTTTCAAAGTAGATTTCAAAATGTATCTTTGTGCTCTACTACTGCCCCATAGATGGCGCTAGTATCTTTCTGACCCATTTTGGATGCCGCAATAAAGTATATGGATAGCTACTTTTTAACAATTTGGCCAAGCACTATCGAAGTATCCCTAACAGTTGAGCTCGTATACCAACAAACATAAACGGTATGATTTGCCAATGTGCACGGACCATAACGTATACGTTACTATCGAAATCAAATACGAGTATTCGAGAATAATAGCTCAGTTAGCCAATCATGAAGCTATTATTCCAAAAACAACCTTCGGCTTGATCATAAAGGACAAGGGTTGCAGTTAGCATAATACAAACATCAAGCTGATGGTCCGTATTACTGAATTAGTAGGAAATAGAGGTGTGCTCCCACTCAGTTTCTGCCGGCAGCCGCCATCGAGGCAGCGGGGTTGCGTGTACCTCGGGTAAAAGGAGGTCAATTAAATGAAAATCTGCAGCTTCGCTTCGTTTAAAAGGTTTAACGCTGGATGAAACTGATTGAACTCAATCAACGGTGAGTGAAACCAGCTGTGAACTAACCAACACAGTTTTTATGAGCCATAGATTGAGTGCTAAAGGAGTCTTTTCTGTCACAAGGTGAAAAATAACAAAAAAAGTCAATATTACGAGGTCTGTAAATTAAGTGATGAGACTGGCAACGTAGCGTTAGATCTGGCAACACTGAAGGCGTCAGGCTTGAAGAGGAGACTTGAGAACACGTGATCCGCCTTCAGTACAAGTTTGAACTCGCTCGAGTCATTTGCTTGCCCGTAGCAATTTTTTTGTGTTCTAAAAGTGAATGACAGCATTTTCTAGCAATGATGTGCTATCAGGTTTTGCTTCAGCCGTGGGCACAGTGCAACGGAAACTCTTGCTCGAAAATATCGGGCTTGAGATTTAGGGAGTGTAGGGGTGCATAAGGGCCCGCTTAAGTTCATAATTCATTCATTCATTCGAGTTGAACATGCATATTTCTGGGACAGTCAGTGGATTCAGACTTGAACTTGAACCATTTTGGTCTTGATCATTTTTTGGGGATAACACTCAAACCTATGGCGGAGGGATCATTTACAATCTCCCTTGCCACTCTGTTTGCACCTATTCCTTAACTTTGTTTAATTTTCTTTTCAGTCTCTCTGTTTTATCTTCTGCAATAAATTTAACTTTCAAAATTAACATTAATTAATATGAATACAACAAGAACCGTACATTCTCCAAACTCCACACCACAATTATTACGTTATACGAGGTCTGTAAACTAACTAAGACTGGCAACGTCGCGCTCGGTCTGACAACACTGGATGGCCAGGCTTGTAGAAGCGACAGAATAACACGTGATCCGCCTCCAATACAAGTTTGAACTCGCTCGAGTAATTTCGTTGTCCGTAGCGACTTTTATTATGAAACATTTTTTCGATTGTGTTCTAAAAATGACTGACATCAATTTCGAGCAACGTTGTGATACCAGGTTTTTCGTGTTGTGTTCTAAAAATGACTGACATCAATTTCGAGCAACGGTATGCTATCAGGTTTTGCTTCAGACTTAGGCACAGTGCAACGGAAACGCTTGCTATACATGCCTATAGAGATAGTGATTTGTCATTTTCAAAAAGGAGAGAGTCGATTGAAGATGAACCACGAAACGGAAGGCATTGGTCTTCAAGAACCGATTAATATATCAACACAATTGGGGAAGAGTTTAATTTGACTCACACCACCGTTCATCAGATCAAGAACAACTAGGTGTTGTATCACGATAATGCTCCCTGTCACACAACAAAATCAATAAACGAGTTTTTGGCCAGTAAAAACGTACCTGTGGCTCCTCCTTATACGCCTGTAACCGGCCAGCTGAAGGCTATGCCAGTATCGGAGTTCCCGCACTGCTATGAGGAGTGGTAGAACCGTCTTCAAGCAGCTCTGTGAGGCTTCCGAAGGAAGTTATTTTGAGGGTAACAATTTAAAACTGTATTTAAATAAAAAACATTTAAAAATACAGTCCCATCACTTAATTTACAGACTTCGTTTGTCACTAAATCGGATAATGTTAGCGAACATGTAGAAACAAGAGATGTTCTCACTTTATTCTGGCCGAAGCAAGGTAAATTTTAATAACGTATAGTTATAAAAAATGGCAAATTTTCAAGCTATTGCGTATGGAG